GCTTATCTCACATTGGTCTTCTGGTGATGAGTTATGGCACTCTCTAATGTCTCATAGAAGAATGGGGAGGAGGAGATTGGAAAGGAACAGATGTTTGTGTATAAGCCATTTCATGGGAATGGCAAATCAAATTGGATGCCATGGGTGTTTTGGGTACCAGAAACCAGTTGACCAGGGATAGCCAACACGATGGTCTCCATATGTTGGTGCATTTCAACTCCATTCAGCCCCAAGCAGCATGGCCAAATGGTCAGGGACCATGGGAGTTGTAGTCCAGCAACATCTGGAAGGCACCACATTGGCTGTCCCATCTTAGCAGTGGAGGAACACTTTCCCCAGACACCTGGTATTTCATATTCAAAAACCATTAGGCTTGAACAGATGAATGCCTTTGAATCCCACACTTGGGATTCTTCAGTTACTTCTCGAAACCTGAACATCAGAAGATAAGAAGAGTCTGTTGGACTTGGTCAATGGCCCATCTAGTCCAGCATCCTGTTTTCGCAGTGCGTCACCAGATGCCTGTGGGACCTGATCAAACTTTACTCTGCCCACTTGTGATTGTCAGCAACTGTTGTCCAAAGCCATGATGCCTCTGACAGTGGAGGTAGAATGTAGCCATTGTTGTTTCCCATGAATTGGCCCAACCCTCTTTGAAGCCATGCATGTTGATGGCCATCATACCCTCTCGGAAAGTCAAAATGTCCAAAGTGTAATTTCTCCATGAAATGTGACACTTCAGCAGCGAGATCTATCACTGGTTTTCTTCTTGTTTTAACTTGCTAGCTTCATTTTGTGATTGCGAAATACAGTATTTGCTTTATGTTATCATATTGAAAATTGTCTTTTAGTATTTCACCTTAGATTCGGACTGCATAAAGCGGGCTTGATGGATACAGATTCAAAGGGAGTGCATGATATTGCAGGTATTCTTACCCATAATTCTATTGCATTTAAATATGTTGCACATTATTAGATGTTTTTAACATAAATCAGCGACTAGCGTATTCACTGGGTAGCACAATACAGATCAGCAGAATATTTTTGCTTCTTTATAGTTCCGCATCCTACCTCAGAAGACCCCTGTCCACATAAAAAATGTTATTGTAGTAATAATTTTTTGTGACATTTATAGCTTAAAGACTTTGTGCAAATTTTTTTATTGACAAATCTGTTATGAATCAACATACATGAACACAATAAAAATGCACGAGATATATGCATTATAGCGGAAGTTTTGTCAATAGGGCATCACATTGATCTGTGCTCTTTGGGGCTATTTGTGGAGCTGTAGGCATGCGTTTTGCCAAAGACTGCAAATGGTTGAACTGCCTCAGAATACAATTATACAGGAAAAGGAAAAGCCTTGATTCCAGCTACTTGAATGCTCAGAAGTCCTGATTCTGACTAGTGTTGATGATCAACTTTAGCCCACCTAAGAGAATCAAGCATGTTAAGAACAGAAGAACAGAAGAAGACATAGAAGAGCCCCTGCTGGCTCAGGTCAGTGGCCCATCCAGTAGCGTAGCGTGGGGGGTGCAGGGGGGGCTGGCCGCACCGGGTGCAACATCTGGGGGGGGGGGCGCTCGCACTCGCAGTGCTAAAATCCACGGGTTAGGGGGCGCAAATTACTTGCCTTGCCCCGGGTGCTGACAACCCACGCTACACCACTGGGCCCATCTAGTGGAGCATCCTATTCTCACAGAGGCCAAACAGATGCCTGCGGGAAACACACGAGCAGGACCTGAGCACAAGAGCACTCTCCTCTCTAGCAACTGGTACCCAGACGCATTGCTACCACCCACTGTGGAGGCAGAGCATAGCAATCGTGGCTCGTATATCTGTAAGGCTGGAAGGGATACCAAATATTACCTGTGATTCTTGCATTGCAGTGGATTGGACTGGAGGAGCCTTTGGGTCCCTTCCAAGTTGACAGTTCTATGATAAGTTTGTCCAATGTTTGTCCACAGAGCATCCAGTGTTCAGGACCCAGTGTGCAGGCACTTCCACACATTTAGGGGAGTTTGGGCTGACCTTTCTCAAAAAGCTCATCTCCACCCCACATGACAAATCACATTAGAAACTTTCAGCTTGAGCTGGTTGCAGAGTTAGGAGCACATAAGGCTTAGACATGCATAACTACGCCAGACTGGAGATGTAGAGGACTTTGAAAATCAGTTTGCGATATGACGTGTGGGTGGGGGAGATTGCTGCTTACAAGAGATGTTTTTTTTAAAATAAAATAAAAATAAAAATCCTACTATGCTGAAGTGCTGGATCATGCTCAGAATAGCCCTTTGGATTTTTATATATCTAAGTCAGTGGTTCTCAACCTGTGGGTCCCCAGATGTTGTTGGACTACAACTCCCATCATCCCTGAGCTCTGGCCTTGCTAGCTAGGGGTGTTGTAGTTCAACAACATCCGGGGACCCAAGGTTGAGAAAGGCTGATCTAAGTGATAAATGGTACTACTGCAGACTTCCATGTTCTACAGACTTCAGGGATCTGAATATAAAAGAGATATATGAAATATGAGGTGTGTGTGTGTGTGTGTGTGTGTGTGTGTGTGTGTGTTCCAGTTCATCCTTTGATCAGCTCTGTAAGCAGGCGGACCCCAGTTTCCAGCATTTCTCGTTTAAAAAGATCAGACAGCCGGTGAAACACCTATAATAAAAGACCTCTCTCTGAGACCTTGAAGATTGGCTGCTAGTCAAGAAAGACAATACTTGGGTAGATGGATGGATGGATAGTCTGACCTAGTATGTTCTTATTTGATAGGCGGAACCCTGTCCTGCTTCTCTCAGGTTCTGTGGCTAGACTTCTTCTGCAGATGCTTGTACATACTGCAAGACAATGCAGTGCACTGATATGCAGGTTCTACAGTTCATGCTGCCACTTGTGCAAAAGGGTGTGCAGACTCTTGTCTGCATGCAGAACATATTTGGATTTAATTTCACTTTCATCATGCAGCACTCTAGTGCAAGATGCAAAACAGCTGAAGATTCCCCAGGGTGAAGGACACCTTTGGACACCAACCCATTGTTTTTAATTAGCCAATTGATGAAACTTTCTAGGTAAGAGAAATAGTGTGACTACTAATTTGGAGTTAGACACAAACTTTCCCCAGTTAACTCTTAAGCTAATCTACTCAGAATTTGGGCATGATGTTAAAACAGAGTTTGGCTCAAGAGTGCATATAACTATTATGTGCTGTTGGAACTGGTACATTCCCTGTATAATAAAATATCTGAAGTTGCCATTGTTTGTGCATTAAAAACAGTAAGGCTAAGACATCTGAAAATTAGAATTCTATGTCAGACTGTGAATAGCCCACGAGCCCACAGTCTTTCATTAAAATCTGTTTGACATTTTTTGTTATGCGCAGAGAGCCAAAAGGATGCCAGAATGCTTGATATTTGTGATTACATCCTTCTGCTAATACAAGACGCTCAAAAAATTGTATTAAAACATTAGCTGCAAAAGGCTGAGCAGTGAAAATACAAATAAATAAATTAAACTTCTGGGTTCTGTGTGGTGTGTTTTGTTTTGTTTTGTGATTGTTTGTTTTTTTGTATTTAAAAGGGAAACAGACCACAATATGATCTACTGCATTTAATAATTCTGTAAGCAAAGAGTCACATTTTTAATTCTTCTTTCTCTAAACAGAAGTGCATGGATAAGGAATGTGTTAATTCACACACACACCCCCCAAGGTGGGCGGGGGGTGTGTGTAAAGTGCAAATTTTTAATCGTTCCTTGGGAATCGTGTAATGATCGCAAGTCACATGACCTGGTAGAAAAAGATATTATTTTGTCACAATAATGCAAGTAAATTATCTCACTGGCAACTCGCTTAAAGGTCACGGGGATCATCTGATGCAGAAGATGGAAATTTCTCCTGCCAAAACAATATTGACAGCTTATCAAGCAGGATGGAGAAAATACAATGATATAATAGAATGTAAGGTAAGATAACACTTGCTACTGGAGGCAGAAAATATGACATGGCATTTCAATTTTAAGGTTATGTGCAGGATGATATGGTATAGAAGCTCGGAGACAAAACAGTGTTACTTGCATGTGAATTTTATTGGTGCGAATGCTGCTACAGTATTTTAATGTACAGAGGGCTGATTATACGAATCTGATGTAAGGAAAGGGACTGCTCTATGGATTCATTTGCAAATAGATGACAGAACATGAAATGAGGGTGGATTTTATTCTTATCTTACCTCATTAAGGCCAAATGAAGGCCAGGATCCAAAGGACCATGTGAGTGGTTCTGTGTAGCTAGGAAGACTTTGGACTTTTGCGGTGTCAGCTTGCTGCAAATGGGTGTGTACACTTTTCAGAAATTATATGAGCATGTAGATGGGAGCCAGGTAGGCAGGTGAGGGTGACAGCAGGTTCACACTTGCCTGACCTCCATGCATTCATTATAAAGCCTGAAGAACTCCTGAACATACAAGTGTAAGAAGAGAGGGGCTCTCTCCGCACTATCAGGGGCTCTGCTTTCCTGGTTGCACATGCAGGAGCTATTTGGGGAACAGTTGGCAGAGGGCATGCTTTGAGGTCGCAGGTTCAATTCCCATTACTTCCAAGCAGATGGATATCAAAAGGGTACAGACACAGTCAATGGAGAGGCCAGAGGCCAGGCACAGGATATCAGGCAGACAAGATAAAAGGGTGAGAGGCGGGAAGTGTGGTCAGAGAGAAGCTGGGCTCAGAAACTAAGAACATAAGGATGCAGCAGCCAAGTGGGTCAGGCCTATGGCCCACCTAGTCCAGCATCCTGTTCTCATAGTGGCCAACTAGATGCCTCTCTTGGGAAACCCAAGCATCAGAGCACCCCCTCTTTCTGTGGTTTCCTGCAACTGATATTCAGAAGCATTACTGCCTCTGACCTTGAAGAGCACAGCCATCATGGCTAATAGCTACCAGAGAATCATAGAGTTGGAATGTACCCCAAGGGTCCAACCACCTGCAATGCAGGACCCTTTTGCCCAATGTGGGTCTCGAAACCCCAACCCTGAGATTAAGAGTCTCATGCTCTATCAACTGAGCTGCTCATTCAAGATCCCTCTCCTCCATGAATGTGTCTAATTCTCTTTTAAAGCCGTCTAGGTTGGTGGCGGTCACTGCCTTCGGTGGGGGCAAATTTCGTAGTTTGTGCTGTGTGAAGCAGTCCTTTCTTTCACCTGTCCTGGACACTACATGAAGATGGCATGGCAGGCCACCAGTTATCTTCTGCAACTCATAGGGACCATGGCTGCAAATGTTTTCATAGGACATGGTGTGTCTGGATTGGGTTGTAGGACTCCAGATGACCGCATTAAAGCTGGGAGGTGAACAACTTTTCTCAGGCTAGACCTGCAACTTAGAAGGAACCCTTTCCCCCAAAGGGCAGTGTGCCTGGTGTTCTGGAAACCAAGGGGCAATGTGCTGAAGCCCAGCTGCTAGAGACCCTGATTCCAAACCAACCCTGGCGTTTTGCATAGAGTTCTCAAGTCCCAACTGGGCACTGACAAAACCCAGTCTAACAAATGCATGACTTGGCACCATCTCCCTGTCTTGTCTCTGCCCTCTTCAGCCAACCAATTAGAGTGGAGTGTGGGGAAACACTGGACGATATTGCACAGTGTATTTGTTTGAATAGGTGTTATCAGGGAGACACCCAAGTGGCAGGGGGAGAAGAGACACTTCAGGGGAGGGGGGTGTCACTGGCAGCCATGTGTTCCCCATACATCTAGTTAGGGCCCTATATCTCCTGGAGCAAGATATCTTCCTGCCATGTGAAAGTATAGCAAGAACAGACCTTGTTGAAATTTTATTGGCACTGGATGGGAGAAAGCCAGCTTGGTGTTTGGCCAACGGTGCATTTAGGAGAGAAGAGGAGACATTAACTAGGGTGAATCTGCATTGATGATGTGAAAATCAGAAACACAAGTGTGCTGTTTCTTCAGCATAAGGAGAAGGCAGAGAAAACCTTCTGACTCCTGAGATGTATGCTTGAAGCTTGTCTTGTCTGTCTGTCTCTCTTCACCTCCCTCTCTCTCTCTCTCTCTCTCTCTCTCTCTCTCTCTCCCATCACCCCACCATGCCTGATAGAATTAAGAGTCTTCAGTGCATGTTGTTTACCCAGCTGCTTCTGAACAATGCATTAAAAAGGGGGGGGGGAATGACAGCAATTTGCTTATTCAACTCTTGTCTACAGAGTTCCTTTTCTCCTCACCAGCTTTCTCTCCATGGCTCTCCCCACACCCAGTGCTGAACACAGTTGTGCTAGCTGGAGCTGATGGGAGTTGTAGTTGCCTTAAAGCATCTGGGGGGCACCAGGTTGGGGAAGGCGGATGGAGTCAATCTTCAAATGCATCATGAGTGCTCAAGAATTCAGCCGGTATAGAATACATTGCATTTCAGCCGAAATCCATTTGGTTTGAGAAATCTGCTTTGCATCTGCTATGAAAGATTGTTCAGGAGAAAGAGAGACACTATTCACAGGCTCATTACGCAGGGGAAACCGCTTCTGTGGGTGTGTTTTAAACAACAACATAAAAACACACACACCACAGTTTCGTGTCAAAAACCCATGCAGTATAAACAAAGACACAGTACTTGAACTTAGCACTAAAATGCTGATGAATTTTCACGATGACTTTTAATAATAATGTAATCACAAACCAATCTGGAAATGTGGAAAACTGAATTAACTATTAGAAACATGGGAGGCTGGGAGAAACCAGATCTGACAGGTTCACCCATTGCCACACACCCCCCCCCCCCAGTATAAATACTTTCCTGAGGCTTCTTCCCAGTGTGGTGATTATTTATTGTAAAACTCAGGTTGATGACCCTTGGCTATTCCTTCTGTTCCCCTCCTATAATATAATACCTGATGTGGGAAAATGGGGAGAAGCTGGGTTGATCTCTAAGGTGAAAGGAAATAATACATTGGATCATTGCTTTATGCGCTGAGGAGGGGGAGGGCAGGAGAGATGCATCACTATTTTTTCATGACATCCAGTTAATTGTGCTGTTTCCATGAATGGAGAAGAATACTCTGTTGTGTGTTTATGTACATAGCTCAGCTTCTTCCCCATAGCTTTTGAAATATATATGTGTGAGGTACCATGCTCAAGTGGGGAAGGGTCGCATGGCATCCTTTTGTGTTTCCCTTTTAAGAGTCAGGTATGGCTAACCATTAAAATTATATCGTGGATTTTTGAGAGATCCGTCCCTTATTAAAGCTGAGAGCAGCTCAAAGGAGAAACATCAGTCCCTTTTCATGAAAGGAATACTTAGGAGATGACAAACAGCACTTCAGATTGAATCACGGTGAGGTGGGTCATCCGCAGCTTTTCAATGTAAAGAGGCATTTTTATATCTCTCTATACTGTTATGAATTTTCCACGTTGAGGAGAACACGCAGAGGAAGCTCAAGGCCTGCGTCTGTACTGGCTCCTGCTGAATTGGGTGAGAGAACCAACCTCCCCTCCCCTAATAATTTTGTCCCTTGGGGGGCCCAAGATGGCTTAGCAGGTTGGAGACCAGTCCCTATATTAGGTACACCTCTTCAGAAAGCCCAAGCAGCCAGGATCATCCAGGGTCCTGTAGGTTTGGGAGGCAAGAGCTACTAGGAAGGTTGCCTCCCTCTGTTTGGGCCCATGAAATAGGGACACCCTGTTCCATCATCATAATAACAAGAAGTCTTATTATTTATACCCCGCTCATCTGGCTGGGTTGCCCCTGCCACTCTGGGCTGCTTCCAGCATATATAAAAACATAATAACACATTAAACAAAAAACTTCCCTATACAGGGCTGCCTTCAGATGTCTTCTAAAGGTTGATTACTTATCTCATTGGCTCAGGGGTCAGATAACTCCATGCCCTCCAATATTTCTCCCATGGGAGGGTGAGTTTAGAGCCTCTGATCCAAATCAGAGGGGAGGCCAAAGAGAAATGGAAGGGCATCAAAATGACTGAACCTGTAATTTGAACCCCGAAGTAGCTGTTGATCTACTTGGCCTGAGAACTTTGTGAAATCCCAAGACAAGGAGCCACGGAGGCAACTGCATGGTGTGGGGCTTGTGCTTTTCCAGGCAGTTTACTTATTTGCTGCTGGGATCCTTCCTGCAAGTTTTGGCAGTCATTTGCTGTTGAGTTGTGCTTTTTGCATGTTTGTGGTGGTGGGAACTGTTTAATGGTTTTTAGAAATTGCTCAGAAAACCGTGTATGCTGCAGTAGCACAAGGGAAAGATTGAGCAGGGCTTTTGAGTAATGCAGCTCTAGTGCTGAGGCTTGCACCTGGGCTTAAAAATATTGGAAACACATTTGGGCTGCCAAATGTGGGAGACAGGGTAAACTGCTCTGGGATGTGGAACTGTGACTAAGAGTGTGTACCACAGAGAAAGAAGAAGGCATGAAGAGATCTTGATGGACTGGAAGCTTGCTTGAAAAGAGAAAACTGTGGGTTAAAAGTTTAATTGTGTTTCATTATCTGTTTTTGATGATGTGCGTTCTAATGCCTTTGCTAACTTTTCTGTTAGTTTTCTACAGGGAAGCTGTATTATGCTGTTTGTTTGTACACCTGGGGACAGATGTCTTATTCTTTGCAGGGGGTGGGTAATGTCATGAGTTTGGGGGGGGGGAAGTAGGCTGTGTGCAAGAGCCTTCTAACCCCTGGACCCAGCAAGTGTGACAATATGAGCCAGGCTAGCTTCCTGTGTTGAGGTGATCGCCTAGGTGATGGGCCATTAAGAGAATAAAGGAAAGGGGGTTCTGTGTGAGATGGCAAATGAGTGGGGGGCCCTCCGTCAACAGACAAAACCATGGTTTGGAGTAGAGTGTTAGCAGTGATGTGACGTAGAAGGAAAGCTGCAAGCTGGAGGCAGTGGGAGAACAACATTTGAGAGCATTGTTTGATTTCTGTTTGAATCCAAGGCTGTGGTTATGGGAGAAACAAGACCCTTTTGGGGTGCTGATGCTGTGATCAGGTTGAATATATATATATGTGTGTGTGTAAATCAACCATACATCATAAAGACACCACAGTCTCCACTGTGCCTCATTCCTAAAGGAAAAGTGAACCCTGAGGTGGCATGTGACAACATGTTGCACCTTGAAAGAAGAATTATGCAATTGAATGGGGTAATTTCTAGCACACATACGCCCAAAAAACAAGGGTTGATCTCTGGGATGTTAATGGACTGGGGTCTACTTTTCAAACCTCTCCTGGTGCCAGGGACAGCAAGTATCACATCTCCAGTTTTTGACTAAAAGAAGCATTGCTTTGCCAAGATATAATTTGCGGAGACATATTTATGTGCAAAATAAAATACAAACAAACAGAACACTGAGGGTTTAACACTTGTTGGATCTGAACGTTCCAAAATGGGAATGGTCCAAGATACATATGTTGGAATATCCAAGATGTAGAGATATTTATCTGGCAGCCAAACTCACATTTTCAAAAGCAAGCGAGCCAGAACCTAAAAATAACACGACTGATTTAAGAGCAATTAAGAAGCAGCCATTCTCTCCATGGTGAAACAGAAAGGCTGTGGAAGTGAAGGTAGGGTGTGACTCCAGGCTGGCCCTGCCATACAAGGCTGCAGTGGCCTATCATAAAAGGGTTGGGACACCTGGATGGCACAGCAAACTTTCTGAAGTGTTTGCCTTCAGAATGTGGTTGCGAGGGGTGGAGAGACAGAGAGATGGGGACATTCCAGCTCTACTGCAGGCAGCAAACTGTTTTATACATGCACTGGTCTGACTGCCCTCTACACAGAAATATTTTCATGAGCCAATAGTTCAAGTGTTATGCCAAAGGAAGAAGTATCATTCATTTATTGTAATTTTTTTAATGCTACCCTTTCTTCAAGGAGCTCAAAGTAGTGGTTTCTCACCTTTTTTATTCCCGGCAAAAAGCCCACAAGGTGGGCTATGCTGAGAGTTAGTGACTGTCCCAGGCGAAGCAATCTAAGTCCAAGAAGCTGGCATAACTTACTGTATCCATTCAGGAGTGGAAGAGGGGCCTTGAAGTTGCCCGTCAACCGTGACCACCTGG